TATATGACTATTGTTTTAACAAATTGTTTAATTAATTGACAAATGATAGGCATTTTGGCAGCTCTGGCGGCGGACTCTAGCAGTTTGAAGGACACATTACAACTTGCATTCTGTCACCTATTCTTCAATATATCGGGAATTCTCATCTTCTATCCGATCCCATGGATGCGATGGCCTATAGGGTTGGCCCGTATGTTAGGCAACATCACAGCCAAATACCGGTGGTTTAGTGTCTTCTACTTAATATCGATGTTCTTCTTATTGCCATTAACTGTGTTCGCGCTGTCAATGACCGGCACGTGGGCTCTGGTAGGCATTGGCGGACCGGTTCTTATGGTCTGCTTTATAGTGATTGTGATAAACATAATACAACACAAGAGACGAAGTCTTTTGCCCCTAAAGTTGCAGAACTGGAATTTTTTGCCGCTTTGGATGCACTCATTGGAACCAATCGACGAACTCATTGCCAAACTAGTGGAAAGGTTCTCATGTCTGGCCTGTTGTGCCGGCACTCAGTCCAGACACGACGCCGCTCTCAGTGCGCTCAGCCAACAGACCAATCAGTCACAGCTCCACATCTTAGGCTCACTCAACAACTCCAACAGCAGTACTCAACTCAAACACATCTACGAAAACGACGGCTATATCTTGCACTGGGAGTCCGTTAGACTCAACCAAGAATTGAATGATAAACAAGTGACTAATCTTTGATTACCACTCATTGAGTCTTAGGCATAGGTTTTGTAAATAGTTTAATCAATTGTTCGCAAATTTAAATGTCATTTTCGATTATATATTACATCAAATCAAATATGTTATCAATTTTACAGATAATTACACATCAATTCAAATGAATCTCATTATTCACCACTAAATATAATTATAATTGTTTAAAATTCTTTTGGATTTTTTCCTTCGTTTTTTTGTTCACAATTTAATCTCATTTTGAGAATTAAATCTCGATTTTCATAGAATTTAATTTTTTGATAGTTTTTTATTTTTAATTTTAACAGTATTTTAAATTATTATAATTATTTGCCTTCAATTTATGAAAACAATACAATTGTAATTAAAAATCATATTTATTCTTAAATACAATGAAATGATACAATCAAATGAAATATTTTGCTTAACAATAATTATAGTCATAAAATATTACACACTTTTTTGTACCACTGATTGAAAATATTTTATGAGAAAAATACCATTTTTTAAAAAAGATCCGATCATTTGATTGTCGATTGAAAACAAATTAATTATTTATTCAATTAATGTAAACGATTTTCCCTTAACTATTTTGTTTGCAAATTTGTGTAAATATTTACCACAAATTGTTTTCACAATTACTGATTGAATAATTGACATGTTTTTCGGTATTATTAATAATACATTCCTATATATAAAATCAATTTAATTAAGTTTTGATTTGTCTTCCGTTTAAAATTAATTGAATTGAAATAAAATAATTTTTTCCAACACTTATTGTTTTAATCATATTTAGTCAACGATTCAAATACCATAAATAATTACACATCCGATATTGCCATCGATAATAAAACTATAAATAAATCAAGTCATATAAAGTAAATGAAATTACAATATTTATGGAAACAAAATATAATTTTTATTTATCATCAAAATCAATTATTCAACAATTGTTTAATTTGTGTTAGTAATACTGGTTATTATAGTTTATTATAATTTCATACACATTATAGTTATATTATCAATTTAATTCAATAGTAATTTGTAGACAAATATGTTATAATTTATAATTAATGATATTAATAATATCAAAGCAAAAATATAATTTATAGTAATATAAATTCTCTGAAACTAAATATTACGTCAAATAAATTAACAAATTTCAATATTCAGCAAATATTAATATATTAATTATTGGATATAAAGAAAACAAACAAATCATCAATTAGTCAATTATTTTAAGTTTAGAATAACATTTGTTATCAATAGCCGATCGCATCATCGAATAGGGAGTCATTTTTTCGAAGTCTTTAGTCTTTAAGATTAGTGACATTTGTTGTCCGGAATATCCGGAGAGAAGTGCGGCTCCGACTTCATTGGTCTGCACGGGTGTCGACGCGGAAGTCCTCAGATTCCAGAATACAATTGGCGGCAATTTATAACCTTTGGCCTCAAAGTCTTGCTGTGCGGCCTCGAAGTTGGTTAGATTATCCTCGTCAGGAAAAGCCTCGTCAAACTCCATGTCTGTGAACACTATCAACACTTTCGGCAACTGATCGTTTCGGAGACGCTGTTCAACAGACTTATGCAAAATCAGATCAAAAACTAAATTTAAAGCAGTGTTATATCCCGCATCCATTCCTTGCATGGCTCCAAGTTTCTCAATAAAAGTAAGATTCGGGTCCACGATATGAATTTGTGGGGTCGCGCTAAATGTAATGCACATTGAATTCCAGGGCTCTTGCGATAAATACATGGTTAGAATCGTGAGACCAATGGCTGCGTTCATAGGCGTCCCATCCATAGAACCGCTCACATCACACACAGCTATAGCGTTGTCCAATAGACCACCGCCTAAGACAGTGACAGGCGGTATATTAGATAAATGTTTTATGGAAAACAATTAATACAAAACATACCCTTTTTCTTAATGTCTTCGCAAAGTGAGAGCCATTGCTTTTCGAGAACTTCAATCTCAAGCTTATCAGCTTCAGAATGCATTAATTTTTTGCCTCTTTCTACCATTTCCACCGGTTTGAGGACAGCGCCGGAAATGGTTGTCTTTGAGGCCAAGAACTCTTCAAACCTTTGTTTGTCGTGTTTAATGAAAACCGATTTATTCTTTTGCATACACTTAGAGGCGACGCGATTGTAGTCAATATCCATCCACTTATTGGACGCCATAA